GGGGGGGGTAGTGGTCAGAATGAGTCTACAATTTGGCCTAGTGTACCAGCCGTCTCTATGCATGAGGGGGGGTCGAACTGACATGGGGCGAAATCAGGATGAAGTGAACGTGTTTTCCAACTTCCCTGAGTACAAACAACACGTCACAGCAAAGTAATGCCATGCTATCACAGACCAGATAGTGGATATTATCAGTGTGAGGTGAAGAGGTCATAAAAGTGCTTCGACTCCAAGTCTCAACGTCCAGTCTTTCCTGGTGTGTTCTGTGCTCCGAGTGTGTCGACAGTGCTGATTCTCCGATCCCTGTGCTCTTGTTTACATAGGTCTGCTTATGGTCCCTGTGTCATCTCTCCGCGTGGAGTCTAGTCAATTTGCTGAAGGGGGATTTTACTCTCATCAGCAGCAATATTTGGGTTTCATACGTCCAGATCAAGTGGAGGAACTGCTTTTTGATTTTTGCCCTGGTAAGAACACTATATTGTTCCTTGCAGACCAATGAAGGCATATGTTTTCAAATAGGTCATGACCGCTTTCTTATAAAACAGTATTTATTCTGCATTTATGGTCATCTTCCCATTTCCTGCGACGTTGTGTAGCCCATGCAATCGGAACAGAGAGACCTTAAATAAATTAAGAATGATAAATCAATGATGAAATAGGCCGTTTGGGAGCCAGGATAGCTCAGTCGGTATAGCGACTGGCTACGGGCTGGACGACCAAGGCGTCGGAGTTCAAGTACCCGCAGGGTCATTTTCTCTTCTCCATGTCGTCCAGACCGGTTCGGGGGTCCACCCAACCTCCTATCCAAAAGATACCGGGGACTCTTTCTCTGGGGGTAAAGCGGCCGGGGCGTGAATCTGATCATTCATCTCCAGCTAGTGCCAAGGTCAAGAAAATTTGGATCTACACATCCACTTTCTCATACGCCTTCATGGCTTAGTGCTTAATTAGTTAAGCACAAGGGACAACTTTACTTTTAATAAACCGTCTTTGAAGAAATAAAAATATCTAATTTTTAGGTCCAGAAGCCTGTTTCGGGCTTCGTTCCAGAACGTGTTTTGAAAAACTGAGATGAAGTTGCCTCTGTGCGTAAGCACCACGCCATGAAGGCGTACTGGTGACGTGGATTTAGCTCACATGGAGGTGAAGGGATTAGATGTATGCTCCGACCACTTTACTTGCTGGAATAAAGCCCCTGTTAAAAGTTAGGAAGTTCTGTGGGACGTTTAGTCTGTCTGAACTTTGTGTCGAGGAGAAAAATTCCTGTTTCGAATCTGTCTCCTGCCGACCGACCTATAACGTATGAAGTTATATCTGATGTATCTCAGAGCAGGACTTAGGAAATTAAGATCAAGTTTCATTACACAGACTTACAAGTAGACTTTACAGATGACATAAACTCATAGCCTCTGTCACCAAATGTTGTCATTACGAGCAATCCTTTGTTTTAAAAACGTGGAAGAACATATTCCTATAACAGATCATGGAGGCCTATAGCGTTGTGAGACGCCGAGGCTTCCACATTTTCTAGACAATCGGCTCACAGATGGCGGTGAAGTTGTCAGTCTTACGCTCCGGCCGCCCTTTAGCCACAGGAAGATTTCTGGTACAAGCTGAGTTGACCCCAGGGCTGTAATGCGGCTGGAAGGATTGGGTGAATTGAAAAAATCCACCTCATTGGGACTCGAACCCGCGACCTTCCAGCTTCTAGCATAGTGCCTCAATCAACTACCGCTACCGGGATAGCGCAGTCGGTATAGCGACTGGCCAGGGGCTAGACGATCGAAGGGTCGGATTTCGAGTCCCGACAGGGTCATACGTCTTCATGGCGTAATGCTTAATTAGTTAAGCACAGGGACAATTTTTCCTTGTAGAATAATTCATTTTATATGCGGTCGCAGACATTTAATGGATCGGCGATGGGTAAACACTAATCTCTCACCGCTCTAAATACGGACCAGCCTAGGACAGTACACGTTTCAGTTGTTCGTTACAAGTAGCCAAAGACTAAACGAAATCCGTTGAAGAGAATCTTTCTTGAGAAGCGAAGAGTCTATCAGCTGGTTAAGGATTAATTTTCGTTTATGGAACACGAAGTTTGTTATTGTGTTCACAACCCACCACTATTGACACAAAACTTGAGCCATTTTAATCTCGTCCCACACCGTTGCGCTCTGTTTATTATAAATATAATATAATCTTCATTTATACACGAAGTTCTAATTATTTTCAAAATGGTTCCTCGACAAAAATTTGGTACATAATGTAAAATAGAGATTTAACTTAGTATGTTGTCTACTATTTCTACGTATCTAACATATTTTAATGTCGTTTATGTTAGTAAAATACTGTTTGCATCTAGATTAACATCTACAGCGTTATATAACTCTGCCACCATTAAGTTTATATTTGCAATGCACAGTCAACATCAACGTAGGATACAGGATCATAAAGAATGCTTTTGGAAAATACTGTACAATACACTCCCAGATTAACCATTTTTCAAATATTCTGAATTATCGTGCAGTAGCGAAAATTTCAAGAAAACTTCCCGTATTTTAAGCTTATTCAAAAACGAACATGGGATGTACTCGTTACGTGCCAGTGCCACAAACACGCCGGTTCCATTGCAGTAAAGGTTAGTTGAATTTGCGATTACGTTAGGGTGCACGTGTCTGCAACCTTTCACCCATCCGTTGTCTCACATAGGATGATTCCCATGCACGAAGCAAAATGAACACGTGTTGTGGCAGTGTACTGAGGTTTCTGTAAGAGTTTTACTCATATAACCTGCAAACCCAGTTCCCCATATATGCTGAATGACGGAGAGTTCACCTCTTCAACCACAAGTGCATATTTCCACCCTAATTAAAGTAATGAAACGTACGTTTCTTGACTTGATAGGTTCTAATAAAAATATATTACAAGTGAACAAAATATTATGTCTTCCAGGACGTGGCAACTGTGTGTTTGGTAAATAGGTACCAGTGTTCTAGAGGAACCCGCTATTGCCATATTGAGGATAGATTTTTTGGCACTAAAGATGAGGATAGCAAGAAACATTGGCACCTGTATTCCAAAGTACACGGTGCCACGTCCCAGAAGACAACTATCATCGTAGTCACCACCATGAGAATCTAAACCTTTACGAATGAGCTAACAGGAGATATTAATTCTGTGTATTCTCTCAGGCCATTGTGATTTTC